TTAACCAATCAGGTTTAATCCTCCAAAACTGCAATCATAACCCCCCCCCCATAAACATACACAGGATTGCACTAAGCAGTTGCAATCCAGTGTACCCTTCCTTGGGGAAATGCTTCATTGAACAGGGTGGAACTTATTTCTGGGTACACCTGCATAAGGATTGTACTTTACACACCATATCCTACGCTTGGCAAAATAACCACCAGACCTCAGTGTTTATCCTCCACATAACTGTTAAGTGGAGCTGGAAATGAATTGCAGAACTCAAACATTCTATGGATTCTACTGTAGGACCTTTGAAATGGTGGTGCCTCATTGCTTCATTGTCAGGATAGGGTTAGGGAATGCCAAAGATGGTGTAGGGATAGGCAAATCTGTTAATTTCATTTTCTCCCAGTTACTCATTCTTTCCAGTCCAAAGTTCAATTTTCCACATTTCCACATCAGTTTGCAATATTTTTCCATTAAGTCCTCATGAAAATTCATCAGGTTCTTATTGCTGATTTCTCCTAATACACACGTTTGTAAGCAATTTAGCCCATTAAACACATATTTGCAAAGCTATCCCCCTTAAAACAATGCAATTGTGTAGGTTATTTTCACTAAAATGTGTGGTTTTTATGCAAGCATTAGTAACTGCTAGTTACTTGGCTAGAGGTGCATCGCAGAATTCAGAGAAGTGTGGAAAAGCGATGGCTGTTTCAGTTCTCATATTGTTTTGGGAAGTGCAACTTAGATAGGATCACCCTTAAATGTGAACTGAATTGAATTTCTCCCTCAACCCTAGTTGTTTGGCACTTAACTTTTGCACCAGGAGCCCCTGGATACTGCTGCAGTGTGGATAGTCACTTCAAGGCTTGATCATGGGTGAGCCATGCGCTGAGAACCAGTAGCCATGGGACAAGCCAAAGAGAACCAAAGAGCAAGTCTGGAATGGAAACCAAGAGACAGGGCCAAAAAATAACCATAAAAATAATACAACCACATCAGAGTTCAGGAAGACCTTGTCGTTCAGACAAGACACAACTGAGGTGGAAGCACTCTTATACTCCTACCCGTCCATGGAGAATCCAGTGACCAGTAGGTAGAGTCTGTCCAGGGCATGAATGTGCTCCACTGAGAAGCTGCCTAAAGTACAGACGAAAAGCAGTTGCCTTTCATTTGTAACACCACGCAAGGGAGCTCCACACAGATCTGTCAGCTCCTAACAAATCATCACTTGGTGCTTGATCCATGACTGGTCTTAGGCCTTTGAGCCTTAAGCCCAGCACCACAGCAAATATTCCATCATCACAGCAAATAGCATAGGCTACAAGGCCATCATTGCATTTAATTTGGAGGAAAGCCCTGTGGATATATCCACAGAGTTTACTTCCTGGGAGATGTATGTGGGTAGAGGTGCAATTGACAGTTAAGTACTGAGGTGGCTGCATTTGCTGATGTACCTGAGTACACCACAAAAGTAATCTTTATGTTGGGGTACTGCAGGAATGGCACACTTGGAGAAAAGGTCAGTGCATATGTTTGCAAGGGTCTTCCTCACCTTGATTCTCTCCTAATGTTTTGAACTGCAACTCTCACAATCTGTGACTGCTGGCTACTATGTTGGCTGGGTTTGGAGGGAGATGCAAAACATCTGAAGGCCATCACATTGGGGAAATCTGGTTTAGAACATACATGATTTATACATATATTTATCCAAAACATGGGGAACCTTTGGCTCACGAGATGTTGCAGTGCAACTCTCAATATCCCTGACCACTGGCCATGTGTGCTGGGGCTCTCCAGAGTTGTAATTCAACAATATCTGGAAGGCCAAAGGTTTCCAACATCTGATTTATCCCGAAAGCTGAGAGCAATATATATATTTAAACAAATACATAGCTTTCCCTTTTTTAGTCTGATAACCATCCTGTGATATGGCTTACATTGGGGGATTGTTATTGGCCCACACTTGCCTAATAAGATAATTATTGGCCCAAGGTCTTCCAATGAATATTGCTCTTCCTGCCCAACGTCAGCACCCAGTCTACCACACTGAGCTGAATAGGCTGCCAGTTTCTAATTCAATTAGTTGCATAGCAATTAGATGAAAGATCATCTTCCCAGTTCGTCTCAATAAAGGTCAATAACGGCAATATAACCTTGTAATAATGGAATATCACAAGGGACCATAGCAGCTGAGCTTTGCAAGGGAAAATGTGCTCTGCAAACTAGAGCAACATCTTACAGCTAGTGCCCACTAATTGTATTTATGAATCTTCTCTTCACACAAAAAAAGTCCTCAAGTTAATGTAGAATAAAAATACGCAAATATTAATGTGCTTCTGAGGTTCAGAAAGTTTGGTCAAGAAAATGCCTTTTGTACTTATAATGGGCTAAATGACAGCTAATATATATCCTGCCATGTACTCTTTTCCAGTAGGTTATCTGAGAGACTAAGGAAAAAAATCATTCTCTTCTCCTGAAAATTGCCTACCCCCAATGCATACCATGAATTTGGGGGAAATCATTTTTCTGATTTATCAATGGGGAACATTATGTATAATTATTGGAGGGGCATTAATCAGTGGTGTTTCCATTGTTACCTCTTCTGTTTCCACTGGTGATTGCTGTGGAACTCCTGCTAGTGCCTCCCCCCGCCCCATGTCTCCTTGGGAAATTGCTACACCATGGCCTAGCATTATTTGGAGGGGGCATTTGTAGTGGAGGGTGGCAGGGGCAAAGAGGAGCTTCATTACAACTTGTAGTGATGGCAAATAAAATAAAAATGAAGGAAAGGAAAATGCAAAACTGGCAACATAGGAAGAGTCTGCTAGATCTGGCCAATGACCTATCTAGTCACAGAATCAAAGAACTGCAGAATTGGAAGGGACCCCGAGGGTCATCTAGCCCAACTCCCTACAATATGAGACCCTCAACTAAAACATCCATGATAGATGAACATCCAACCTCTGTTTAAATACCTTCAGTCCACAATCTCTCGTAGGAGTCAGTTCCACTGTTGATCAGCTCCTGCATTCAGAAAATTCTTCCTGATATTTAGTTGGAATCTGCTTTCTTGTAACTTGAGGTCATTGGTTTAGGTCCTACTGTCAGGAGCAAGCAAGCAGTAAATCACGTGGAGTAAGTGAAGTTAATTCTTTAGTAGAGTCCCCTCCTCTCTGGGTTTCCCCCAAGCAATCTGAGAGTGTGCCTGTGTGCCTGCCTTTGCTCCTCCTCCTTCATGCCTCTCCTTGTCCTGGGAGACCAGGGGGAAGAGGAGCTTGTCACAGCAGGAAAGGCAGACATCCATGGTTCTTCGCAAGCCTGTCTCATTCCACCTCTCATCTTAAATAGTCTAGAGTCCTGTTCTCAGACTTGCCAACCAGATGCCTGTGGGAATCTTGCAAGCTGGACATCTGAATAATTTCCTAATACAGTGGTACCTTGGGTTACAGACGCTTCAGGTTACAGACTCCGCTAATCCAGAAATAGTACCTCAGGTTAAGAACTTTGCTTCAGGATGAAAACAGAAATTGCGCAGTGACGGCGCAGCGGCAGCGCGAGGCCCCATTAGCTAAAGTGGTACCTCAGGTTAAGAACAGTTTCATGTTAAGAATGGACCTCCAGAACGAATTAAGTTCTTAACCCGAGGTAAAGGGACCCCTGACCATTAGGTCCAGTTGTGACCGCCTCTGGGGTTGTGACACTCATCTCGCTTTATTGGCCAGGGAGCCGGCATCACGTGGCCAGCATGACTAAGCTGCTTCTGGCGAACCAGAGCAGTGCACAGAAACGCCATTTTCCTTCACGCCGGAGCAGTACCTATTTATCTACTTGCACTTTGACATGCTTTCGAACTGCTAGTTGGCAGGAGCAGAGACCAAGCAACGGGAGCTCACCCTGTCATGGGGATTCAAATTCCTGGCCTTCTGATCGGCAAGCCCTAGGCTCTGTGGTACCGCTCCGGCGGGAAGGTAAACGGCGTTTCCGTGCGCTGCTCTGGTTCGCCAGAAGCGGCTTTGTCATGCTGGCCACATGACCCAGAACGCCAGCTCCCTCGGCCGATAAAACGAGATGAGCACCGCAACCCCAGAGTTGGTCACGACTGGACCTAATGTTCAGGGGTCCCTTTACCTTTAACTTTTTACCTCGGTTGAAGGCAGCAATTTGCCTTTGAATACCAGTTGCTCGGATTTTCAAGGGAAGAGAGTACTGTTGTGCTCAGGTCCTGCTTCTGGCCTTCCCAGTGTCATCTAGTTGGCCACTGTAAGATTACAGTAGTGGACTAGATAGTCTTTGGCCTGATGCGACAGGGCTCATCTTATGCAGGGCTGGCTCCCAGGTTTGAGGAGATCTGGGCAAAGTTTCCTCTCATGCAATAACAAGCAGACTTAGTTTGCAAGAATCCAGCCTTTCCATGATATTTCCCAATTATAATTCCTAGTTTAAGGGAAATGTAATATGGTTTGCCAGGAGAAGTCATTTGGACAACTTGGCCCAGGCTGTTCATCTGGAAACTCTTCTTACCGGTTCCATCTCCTCCACTCACCTGGAAGATAAGTCACGTTGGCTTGATAAATACATACTGCACTGATTTATGTTTTATTTTTAATTCATGGATCCACTGTAGGGAGTCTCTTGTGTTTCAGCCAAGCTTCATATTTTGTTCACTGCCAAACTTTGCAGAACACAAGTTGACAAGCTGTGCTTACACAGAAGGTAGATAAGAATAAATTCAATTTAATCATTGGCTTTGTAGCAGATGGTGGGTTAATCCAGTTTACAAAATGTAATCTGCAAAAATAAAAAAATAAAAATGCACTACTACTACTACGGAGAGAACCATAGCCCATGTGCAGTTCTGCAGGTCTCTTTCCCAAATATATGACACCATTTGAAAGATAAATAATATGTTATCTACACATGCCAAGGTTTTCTTTTCATTAAACAATAAAAAAGCAGCATGATGCAGTTATATACTTCAGTTGCTGAGCTCTCGTACCTTGTAGAGAAAGGGCCATAGCTCAGTGGTAGAGCATCTGCTTTGCATGCAGAAGGCTCCAGGTTCAATCCTGGTGGGGCTGGGAGAGAATCCTGCCTGAAATCCTGGAGCACCCCTGCCAAGCGATGCTGAGCTAGTTAAATCAGTGGTCTGACTCAGTTTAAGGCAGCTTCTTATGTTTCTATGTGTCTGGCTACCTTAATCACCACATTAAGAGTAACAGCACAGCAACCCACTCAGATCTTAAGATGACAGGTAAAATTTAGGGGTTGGGTCCCCAGCTGCTCACGGACTACTGTTTCCATCATCCCTCCCCATTGGTCCTGCTAGCTAGGGGTGATGGTAGTTGTAGTCCAAAAACAGCTGGAGACCCAAGTTTGCTTTAAAGGGAAAGTAGGCCGGCCCTGTGACACTCTCTGCTGGACAAAAGCACTGCCCCAGAATCTGAACCACCCCCAGTACTGCTAATTGAAATTTATAGAGTGCAAAACTGAAGTTTGATTGGCACATCAACCTCTAGGGAGCTTCTAGGTGCTTTGTGCACCACCTAGAGTACCCACAGAATTGTGGCTTCTACTGGCAACACACATAGGAGAACAAATGAAAGACAAACACAATGGGCAGGCAAAAACCTGGAAAGGGCCATACCAAATGGACATCCGGTGTGAAGAGGTCACTTTCCCCACTGCTGAACAATGCCACAGGTAGAGGAGATTAAATGCTAGAAGTGTTCTCCGGGGCAAGGGGAGCTGCTGGGAAATTGAACTACGGGCTTAAAGTATTACTTTTTTAAAAAATCGCTTCCATTATAGGCAAATTTAGGGGTTACTAATAAAGGCATTACCTATGCAACACTTCAATTATATGAGTAGTGGAGGCATTATGGAAGATGGAGACACCCCAAGCAGATTCTACAGCTTCATCCACAGGGTTGCATTGGCCTCTGTCATCTCCTATGAAGCTGAGAGCTCCTCTGTTAAGGGAAGAATGACTTTGCCTACTTCCTTTTCCCATTATCATTTATGTAAAGGCCTGGTCCTTATGATGTGAAAAAACTATGTGTAGGCAATACACTCATACTTCAGGGAAGGGAAGGGTGAGTTTATTGAAGAAAATAGATATGGATGGAAACAGAGCTTTTCCAGCTAACCTGTTTCTTGAGCATTCATCCTGCTTTGCTTGCACAAAGCTTACACAGAGGTCAGATAATGTCTACTTTTTAGTGAGCATTCATCCTTATTTGTTTCCAGGGTGTTTATATATTTTCCTATTAACAATCCATTCATCTTGCAGTTTTTAGTGCATTTCCCTATCACATTCCTAGCCACAAAAGTATGTTTGTTTCTTTTTTAAAAAAGGTATATTTGTTTTACTAGAGGGGCAGAGCAATTTAATCTACTTTAATTGTACAAACCTAGATGTCTGGCATGTGTTTGAATCTCCCACAAACTAGTGACACCTACAGATAGATTTATAATTACAAGCAGTGACCATTTTAAGTGTGTAAAAATGACACACAATCGCTGACACACAGGTCCTTCTTGACCTGGAAGAGGGAATAACGGGGGCAGAACAGAGAATGGGACTCATCACATCTCACTTATGCGTGTTCTGCCAATGCACAAATAAAATGATTATCACCAGTACGGATTGGTTCGGGTGCAAAACCAAACATTGCAATTCACCATCCAAATTTCATTCATGCGGGGGGGGGGGGGGGGAGCGGTTGGAAAAATAATCCATAAAAATGAAGCAGTGTCTGATAATGTATTCATTCATTCATTCATTCATTTAAAATATTTACTATCCTACCCTTTGGTTTAAACCGCTTCCACATTGCCCATTCCACTTCAGTACATTTCATTGATGGAGGCAGGGACTTAACTTCAAAGGAATTGGTAAGAAGCTTATTAGTTAGAAGGAAAGGGCCCTGTCGTGGGGGGCATAGCATTACACAAAATTGCTGTTGTATGAGCCTGGCAAAATAAAACAGCTGCAACATCTAAAAGAGTACCCACATCAGCCACTAACATCCTCACTTGCAGAGAGAAGTTGTTTGTACCACTCATCTATTCTGAACCAAATGGAGGGATGGAGCTCAGTTCTGCCATCCGTGAAATATGAACAGGTTTGAGGGGGCATGTTCAATGTAGGAGAGGCTAAGGCAGTTTAAACAGGAACTGAGCAGGAATATTGTGGGTAATTGAGAGGATATTTGCTGAGACCTTTGTAGGTGCAACAGGAAGTACCATGTCCTTGGTGTGAGCAGTGTTTTATCTAGATGGGCCAGTGATCTGATCCTTTGTAGTGGGGGTGGTCTTCCAGATGTTACTGAACTATGTCTCCCATCATCCTCAGCCAACATGGCCAATAGCTAAGGCTGATGGGAGCTGTATTCCAGCAACATCTGAAGGGCCAAAGGTTTCGCCCTCCTGCTTTATAAGGTATCTTCCTATCTTCCAGTAGCTAAGCCTGTGCCGGATGCTAGCATTGTATCAGTGCCTTCCTCTGCAGTCTCAGATAATGACTTTTAATAAAGCAATAAAGTTTGGGTAACATCTTTGCCATAAATTTACCTATGAATTGACTTTAGTTTCTGAGACAATTTAGTATATTTTCCACTTGGCACTGAGAATGTTGCTAGTATTAGCTTAGGAAGCTTAGCACTGTGAGGTCATCCATTGCTCTCAAGAATGGGGTGCCTTTAAAACAACATTCTTCCTCATTAGGGTGTGCTGAATTTTTCAGCTTCCAAAATCCAAAAAATGAGGGGAATTTAAAAGATACTTTGGTTAAATTAGTATAATTTAGTTCTGCTTGGTAAGTAAAATGTGCATTTTACTTAAATTTTGCAAAGAAATAATTAAAATGATTGCCAAGTACTTGTAGTTGTTGTTATTACTATTATTATTAAGCATTACCTGACATTTTCAGAAGGTAAAATTAAAATTCTTTGGTTTTCTGAAAACAGTGTATGTGCTTCTTCATCAGACATAGACTTGCCATGTTAAATGTTGCCCAATCACAAAAATAATAGCAGATTTTAATTTCTCATGTCGAAAAACCTCAGGCAAGTAGGTTGTGTCATTTTAGTTTCACCCCCTAAAATGACACAACCTACTGCCTGAGATGGTTGCCTCACTCTGGCTAATAGGAGGGCCACCTCTGAAGAAGAGTGAGCCCTCGGCCGCATGGAGGTTTAAACTGAGTAAGCCATGCCCCCGCTCGACTGGATTTGTTGGCCGTGGGGCGTTACATGGCCAGGACTCCCAGTGACGCAGGTGGCATCACCACGCCCCGCCCCCCACTGCACACAGGGAGAGTACATGGCCTGCCTGCAACCCCGCCCCCCTGGGAAGGGGAGTGGCCTACTGTTTTAGATGTGGAACATGCAACAAAAAGTTGCCGTGGAAGTTCCTGTTCGGTGTTCTAAACACCTGCAGCCCTATTCCAGGATTCTCCATTCCATTCCCTCTCAGCTTATTGCAGTAAACAAACCTATCAGTCTGTCTGTACTGTAAAATGAAATAGTTTGCAGAACAAGTCGTCTCCTGGGTTAGCTTGCCATGGCAACATTCATTCTTTTGTTGTTTTTCATTTGCTGGCTTCAACCAGCTAGTCATATTTCTTCTTCAAGGACAAATCAGAGAAGCATAGACTGTGATTCTGTGTCAGTAATGGAACTAAATAAATTCATCATAATGAACAACTTTGCATCTGGCTGGACTTGAGGATCATTCTGGATGATCTACTTTTTTCTTTAAAAACGTTTAGGGGTACTCTCATTTTCCTACTCATATTAAAATACTGCCCCTCAATGAGGCCAAACTTAGATTCACAAAATGTTTAGGGGTATGCGTCCCCCTGCGTCCCCCCCAGGAAAAAAAACACACTGCCAGAATTTGCAGTTCTTGAAGCCAGGAGATTTCAGTGACTGCTTTCTCTCAGAGCCTCTTGGACTCAAGAACTGTTAATTTTGGGGAGATTTCTTGTGGGAATTACACAAACACACTCCTCTCCAGCTCACATTTTCCAGACATATTGACATGGAGAAGCAGCAGCAGCATTCAGCTTGGAACTAGGCAGCCTTTGGATAAATGGGTTTGTTGTGTGCCAGTATACCCAGAATCATCTGAAATTAATAACCTTAGGAATACAGCTTTCAGGGTTCTGTATTCTGCAAAAAGAAGCCAAAATAATACCTTTACCCAAGGTGTATCTGAAGAAGTGTGCATGCACACAAAAGCTCATACCAATAACAAGCTTAGTTGGTCTCTAAGGTGCTACTGGAAGGATTTTGTTTGTTTGTTTGTTTGTTTGTTTTGACCTTTACCCAAGGATAAGGGATGAATTCCATCAGTTTGCATTTAAAGGTAAACCTACCTACCGTAATTCACATTCTGAAAGTATAAGAGACCTGAAACTCAGCCATCCTTTGAAATTCAAACATTTCTGAGTTGTGCAGTTTTCCAACCAAGTAGTGTGTACCAAAATGCACATATTTGTGAAAATAACATACAAATAACCTACATTATTTTAGGGATAATTTGATTTGCAAAAATGTGTATTGGGCAAAGTTTAATACAAACACGTGCATATTAGGAGAAATTTGCACTGAAATAGCGATGAATTCTCATGAGGACTTATTTATTATTTTAATAAATGTCAAACAGACATGGAAATGGAGAACCGCAAGCTGGAAAACTTAATGGTCAGGGGTCCCTTTACCTTTACCTTACCGATTAGCCTATCTGCATGCATTTTTTAAAAGGGGGTTACATTTCCCGCTCTAATTCTGAACATTTTAATCAGTTTAACGCAGGATGAAAGCACAGATTCTGCTTCTACTGTTTAAACCAGGGCCGGGATTGGAAGCTCAGAAGCTTTAGAAAAGAGAACACTGCTTAATCCTTTTCTTGGCTCTTACCAGCTCCGATTCCAAACCTATGTTTTAGATGTTGGCAGGAAAGTTAATTGTACAAGGGAGTGGTAGTGAGGAGAGAAGCAGTGGGTGATGAGAGGGTTAAGCATCCTTCCTCCACTCCCTCCCCAAACCATTTTACTGCATACTGTGCCCTTCTAGCTTCAATTTGCATAGGCGAAACAGCCTCCAGGTTTGAAAAGGTTGCAGTAGAGTGTGTAATTTCACCCACACATTCAGCGTTACAACTTTCCATGCAATATATATATAACTTACAAAGCCTTTGTCCCTTGAATTGCAAGCATTTTTGTTAATTGCCAAGGAAATTCATCATCTAGTATTGGCTGATCTCCAAAAGAAAAGTGCGGAAACTAATTAAACATTTAGTTTAAGGTGAAATTAGCATACTTAGAATTCCAATTTATTCCAAACACAGTAATTGACTTCTGCAGAAGCTTCCCCACTACCTTTTTCCTTCATGTAATAAAGGTGGGCATAAATTAATTGTGCGTCTTTTTTCTTCCTCTCCTCTCACCCTCTCCTTTAACAGCAGTACATTTATTTGGCCTAACTTGGCAGCTACAGCCTGTTGGAGGGCACCTTTATGAAAATGGAGTCAGTAAAGGAAGCAAAGGCACAGAGTTCCTGGACACAACCTACTCACCCATCGGAGGGAAAGGTTCTGATAAAACAGAAAGAAAAGGTACATCCCTTTCTCTTTCAAATGCTTAAGTCAGAGGTCACAAACATTGAAGTCTTCCCCTCGTCCCCATGAAGCCTCTGCATCTTCTCCCTTCAATGCCCCCCCCCCCGGTCATGAGGCGGTGAGGATGGTTACTTCTTTCTCCCCTGAATGCATAGAGCTGAAGGAGGAAATTGGAAAAGTGATACTTTCCAATTTTCCATTTCAGCTCTATGAGCTTTTAAAAGCTCAGATTAATTCTACTGTATCCCACTTCTACCCAGATTCCTTGGAAAAGCTACTTGCATGTCTGCTCGCTTGGTTGCTTTCTGTGTTTTGGGCAGGGTGGCAGAGGGACTGACTGGGGAAAAGGAGAGAGAAGGAACCAGGGGAAGTGGCACTCACAACATGAAAAATTCAAATATGCCCATTGGCCTAAAGAGTTTGTTGACTCCTTGTTTAAGCTGTTGACATTGCTTTTCCAGTTCTACATGATACTATTACCGAACTGAGGCAGTCACCTATACAGCTGTTCTAGACTGTGCTTAGCAATATAAGTTGCTCTGCTAGGCATCCATTTTGACATTGACTCTTCTAGGAAATAACTTGACAGCTTGTGTTCCTTCATAGCACAAAAAGGGTATCAGAGGGGAATGAGCATAGATTATTTTTTGCTGTTTTGGTTAATTAACCCAAACTCTGTTACTGGAGAAGTATCATAGTTGTGGAACTCTAACTCTATTTATGGAAAGCACAGTGGTTGCCAAATTCTCTTCCCAGGGACTCAGAGAATTTGATCGGTCTTTCAAAGGAGCTTGGTGGTACTTGTATCTTGCACCAAGTCTTGAGCATCATTTATCATTATGTGCTAGTTTACACATTTAGCTGAATAGAGCAGAGAAGCTTTTTTCTGGATGCTATCAAATCATACTGGTAATGGTGGAAAGGGAATTGACATGTTTGAATGGTCCCCCATCATGGGAGGAATAAGTACTCATTAATGAGAAATTATGATGGCAATCAAATTTTGCACATTGACAGAGGCTGGTTCCTTTAAGGTGGCATTTCTGAACACTCTGGCATGTGGTTATGTTAGTATTTTAATAGGTTGCACTATGATTAAAAAATCGAGACATCCTATTGATGGCTGGTGCTTAGCAGGGAAGCATAATGAGATTGATTGTTTCAGGAATCAGTGATGATCGGCACACAGGCACTTCACTGGGAGGATAATTGGTGCTTTGCTGCTCAGATTTTCAATTTCTTGAAGCCATGAGCAATCAGTGATTAGGAGTCTGTCTTTGCTGTCAGTATGCTCAAAAATGATGTAAAAAGCAGGATAACGCATTTATAGTAGGAATACATTTTAAAACTTTATTTGATATAAGGTGCATTGAAGTGAACAGGAAAATGTCAAGAGAATAATAAGCATTGCTGTTTTGGAAAGCTCATCACTTGACAAAAGAGAAGCTTCTTGAAATACCAGACACAGAACCCAATTTTATGCAAGCATGGAAGACCACCTGCTCTGCATACAGAAGGTCCCAGGTTTAATCCTTAGTATGTTGTGGCGCATTCCAGATGTTGTTGGACTACAGCTCACATCAGGCCTAACCAGCACAGCCAATGGCTAGCAATGATGGGAACTGTAGTCAAGCAATATGTGGAGGGTACCACATTGGCTAGTGTAGACCATGCTGAGCTAGATAGTGAAATAATCTGACATAAGGCAACTTTCTAGGTACCTAAGTTTACTTTGAAGTAAATCCGACTGAGTTCATTGAGGCTTACTCCCAAGTCAGTGTAGTTATGGTTTTATACTATGGCTGCGATCCTATGAGCATCTATTTGACAATATGTCTAATTTAACTCAGTGGGACTTCCTTCTAAATAAACTTGCATAAGATTGGGATCCATGTCTGATAAAACTACTAACCACGCTGTTCCATCTCCCACAGTAATACCCATGGCAAAAAAACCAACAACCAACTAATTAATGCTAAGCATTAAACCAGGGGCTTGAGAAGCTTATTGTGTGTAAACATCCTGAATTCTATCCATTGTGATAAAAAAAGAGCTTCCCACTCTTTTGCCTTTGGGAAGTTAAAGCTAAATTATTCAAGGTGTTGTGTTGCCTTCCAAAATCCATCTATTTACAGCAGGACTGGGAAACCTGTAGACCTCAGATGGTTGCTGGACTCCACCCCTACTAAACCTGACCATTGCCCAAGCTAGGTGGGGTTGATAGAAGTTGGAGTCTGATGACATATGGAATGCCACGGGTTTCTCAGCTCTCCTAGATAGGCATCCTCTGGATGCTGTAAAATATAAAAATCTCTGGTTATCAAATGAGAGAATGAATGTGAGCTGTGAATAACAGCTTGAGGTTGAAATTTGAGTAGCTCTGAGATAGCAGGTAAAGGTAAAGGACCCCTGGACAGTTAATTCCAGTCAAACTTGACTACGGGGTGTGGCACTCATCTCCGCTTTCAGGCTCAGAGAGCCGGCATTTGTCCACAGACAGCTTTCCGGGTCATGTGGCCAGCATGACTAAACCGCTTCTGGTGCAACAAAACACAATGACAAAAGCCAGAGCACACAGAAACCCTGTTTACCTTCCCACCACAGCGGTACCTGTTTATCTTCTTGCACTAGTATGCTTTCGAACTGCTAGCTTGGCAAAAGCAACAGGAGCTCACCCTGTCATGGGGATTCGAACCACCGACTTTCCGATCAGCAAGCCCAAGAAGCTCTGTGGTTCAGACCACAGCAGCACCAACTCCTTTTCTGAGATAGCAGTAATGGGTGGTCAGTTCTTTACTTAGTTTTTCCTCATTCTGGGCCTCAGCAATGTAAATCAATAAAGAAGAACAGAGCAGGGGGACGGCTTGCTTTGAAATGAGTTGGAACTTTCTGAGCTTTGGTGGGGGGAGCTTGACCTGAGGAAGGAGTAGGTAGCATGTGGCAAAGAGCACCCATCAGCCCAACCAGTAGCAACTGATGTGCAGAGTGTCTTTATGCTGAGGTTCATGGGGGCTTCTTTTAACTCAAGCTGGGCTAGCCCTACGATAGGGCAGTGTGTGTAAAATGGTAAAGAGGATAAAGCGACTTTCGATTACATACTGTAAACCAGCTCATAGATTTATGCATTTTAGTTTACAATTATAGAGTAGAAAGGCTTGCCGCAAGTGGGTGAATGATGGACAGTTCTGCTAAGAAGGAACCATTTCCATAACAGCATCATGTCATGCCTGAATAATATCATCTGATACTACAATATATTGTTTCATCTCCCATCAGAACAGCAGATCTTTAAACTTTCATTTTAGAAAGTAAGGTAGTTACAATCTCATTTAAAGGCCGTCAACACTGACCAACATTACCATTACTGATAAACACATTGTTTTGTCCTTGACCTTAGAGTTATTGTACTAAAACAATGCAATTGACTCTTTATACTTAATGGCAATAGCATAAGAAAATATGTTTTTGCATTTTGCTTAACGTTATGGTTAATGGCTTGTAAAAAGTTTGCTTCAAGTCAGTATCTCCCTTTGAGTCATGTCTTTTAGATTATGATTCTGTAAGCAGGGACTGTCCTGTTTTAACTGATTTTATCCCAGCCATTCTGCAAGCCTTCTTGGCTGAGCACTGGGTTACAAATGCTCTAAAATAAACAAACCAAGGAAATGAACAAATCTGAAAGGTCTTTAAAGCTGAAGAATGATGAATGCTACTGCTTTTCTTATGGTTTAATTGCAGTCCAAAGTCTATTAGGTTGCAAGTATGTAGGCAGCCCATAGACATTACTTAATTATAGTGTTATGAGTTTGTGGGTGCCAGAACACTATAATCCTTGGATTTAGCATGTGTTAGAATTTAATTAAGGCTTGGTGTGCTAAAATGAGTGCTAGTCTTAAAATATAAGCCAGGCTAGTTTTCTGATGAGGTATTAACCTGGGGTGATAAGCTATTAAGAAAACAAAGGCAATGGGCCATTAATAAAGCAATGATCAAAGGAGGATCAGTACTAGATGGCAAATGGGTAGGGCCCCTCCCTCAACAGATAGAGCAATGTGAGTTAGAAGCTTAGAGTTGACTTAGGAGTTATGTGACAGAGAACCAAAGCAGCAGGCAGAGCACAATGTTTGATGTCTGTTTGAATCCAAGGCTGCACCTATGGGAGAAGCAAGGTCCTATTGGGGCGGTAATGCTGCAAAGCCCTGCTTCGTAGGCTCAGGTTGTATATATGTGTCAATAAACCATATATCCTAAAGACACCACAGTCTCTGCTGTGCCACATTTCCAAAAGGAAACAAAGACTCTTGGTGAGATCCTGGAACCCCTGGAATTTCACTGCGCTCAGAGATTGGAATGGCGTAGAATTTCTGTACCACTCAAGATATAAAAATAACAGAGCAGTGTATATTTAAAGGCTTGGGCATTTTAATGATAAATGATGATGATGGAATAATTTAACCACGACTTGTTTGGAGCTGTTCACAAATTGACGCTAATTTAAGCCAGATATTTATCCATCTCTTTCAGGCACTTGACAGGCTCAGCTGCTTAGGAATACGAGTTATTTTAGATTTGATGAAAAAATGAGGTGGGGAGCAACAGAACATACTCTTGACTTCTCTGTTAGATCCACACTGTCCACTTTGTTAGGTTCACTTGGCCGTCTGCAGACAAATGTTGAAAGCATGCTAGGAAAAGCAGTTGGAGAGAACTTGGGATTCTGGTCCTCTTCTCCCCAGCATACACTGAATGCCTCTGAGAAATTCTTAAAGGGATGGGCATAGTTGTGCACGTTCCTCAAACTTTTTTGGACAGAGTTGAGCATGTTCCTCAAACTGTTCTTCTCATTATTTTTAAATGACAGCAAACTCTTTCTTCTTCTTCTTTGTTTCTGGAGAAATAGTGTTTCAGAAAGGACAGGCAATAGACACGGGGGAAATTGAAATTGGAGTTCAAGTGATTCAAGCCATTCTTCCAGGCCTCTTCTGGCGTTTCCAGATTATGATCCATCACCCAATGTACCTGAAATTTAATGTTTCTCTGGCAAAGGACTCACTTTTCGGGATATATGGGAGACGCAATATTCCCCCTACTCACACACAGGTATTTACTTACTTACTTACTTACTTACTGTAAAAGTTAGCTATTTCAGAAATATATGGTGTTCACTATTACGTTGACTGCTGTTAACTTTCCTTCTTAACCTCCCTTGACAAAAACATTCCTTTATCAATTTAGGCAAAGAGAAGAAAGTTCTCAGTTTTTTGTTATTTTTGAACAAAGCACAAAAGGTCACCAAGCATATAGATGATGTCCCACAATGTTTGTTTGTTTGTTTTTTATGTCAGCAACCTGATTTGCCAACCCTTGCAAGAAACAAGGTGCAGAGGTGACAAAGGAACTATTTGTTGGCAGGCTGGAGTGATAGAAATGAAAGCATTCAACAGAAGCAAAATCAGTGGCTGTAAAACCAATGGTAGCAGCAGTGGGGTAAATTTGGGGGGAGGGAGCTGTAAAGACCTATGAGGGCTGCGTATAGTGTACCAACTGCACAGCACTGAAATACTGACATCCTGCACTTCAGGGTGTTGGACTAGATTACCCCTCAGGGTCCCTTCCAATTCTACAGTTCTATGATTCTACATTTAGGAACATGGAATATCCTCCCCAGAGGTGTACTGCCATAAATACATGCCCTAACCACTGCACAGCCACTTTTTGATAGCTAGAGGAAGTCCTTCCAGAAAGAACAAGATTTGGCTTTGCCTCTTATTGCAACATTTACTCAGTTTTCCAGTTGCTCGTAGAAAAAATTACCTCATGCATGAATTGTCCAGTCTACTGAGTGTGTTCTTTCATCCTTAATGGGGTCATGGACCCCACTTTGCAAACTCTGTTCCATGCATAGTGGCATTATTTGTACATAATAATAGGACTGTGGGACTGAAAGGAAACTGGGCACTGCATACTACCACTCTGGTCCCACACAGTCGTTGTTCCCAGGTTGCAGAAGAACAGGAACTTGCAGAAGAATTCTTTCCAAAAGTTTTAATGTTGAGATTGGTGTGATACATACACAGATTGCTGTAACAAACAAAAACAGTAACAGTTTAAGAGGCCATAGATAGGCTAATTAAACAAAGGCCTGGGGAAAAAGGAAAGTTTTTGCCTGGCACCTAAATATATGTAATGAGGGTGCCAGGCAAGCCTCCCTGGAGAGAGCACTCACAAACTGGGAGCCACCACAAAAAAAGCCTGTTCTTGTGTTCCCACCTTCCATACTTCTTGTGGAGGAGGCACACGAAGAACAACCTCAGCTGGTGAGTGCAGGGTCCAAGATGGTTTACATCAGGAGAGACGGTCTAATGGGAAAGGGGAAAATACTCTCCCTACATACTTTTCCACAGCATGCATAATTTTATAAACTTCTAATATGTCCCTCCACTTATTTGCCTTTTTCTTGGAATCTTTGCTTGGCCATGGTGTGTTATGTATGTGGGGGGAGAGAAGGGGGAATTGCCAGCATAGCACTGTCTACTCTTCAAGATCTCAGGTAAGAATCTTACCATGGTGGTTGTTTGAGATTGGTGATGCCTGGGATTGAACCTGGGACCTTCTGCATGGAAAGCATGGGCTCTGTTGCTGAGCTGTAGCTGCCCCCTAAAAGATGGGAATGTGTTACTTTACTCAGATCTCTGTGTTTGATGGCAAGCTGAGAAGCTCACCCGAAAGAGTGTTGCTTATTTGCTAAGTGCAATTACCTACAGTTTGAGCACAAACCTGACAGCCAGTTAAAGCACTTGTTCAGGTTCTTGTAATTACATCCATGCTTTGATTCCAGTTAGATCATTGGTGTCGCATTTACAGAGAACACTAAAATAGCTTTTTAGTTACCTAGTGAACACTCCCCCAATCTGTTGTCCACAAAATACTTTGGATTGCAACTCTCATCAGCCATTTCCAGCATGCCCAATGGTCAGGAATGATGGGAGCTGTAGTCCAACCATTCCTGGAAGCTGTGCTTTTTCCAGGCGGCACTCAAGGGTACGCAGTACCCACACCTCTTTTGTTGGTTGTTAAAAAGTGTGACACTTACTGTAACTACTTCATGGTGAGTACCAGCACCTATTTTTCTAGAAAAAAAGCACTGTCTGGAAGGCACCTAGTTGTGGGGAAACTGATCAGGGGCGGTGGGGACATAATGGTTTTGGAACCAAATTCAGAACAAAAAACTATGTTGGTTTTAGAAAAACTATGTTGGTTTTAGAAAGCAGTTAAAACACACACACAACCATGCATATAAAGACAGGCTTCTATCTAATCATGTTTTTTATTGTTGCTGTTTCAGTTTGATTTTGTGAAACTGATGGATGGGAAACAGTTAATTAAGCCAGAATCAAGACATTCTGAGGAATCTCAGCATGCTCCTAGGAATCTGATCTTAATGTCCTTGCAAGAAACTGGTTTCATAGAATATATGGACCAGGGAACTTGGCACTTGGCATTTTACAATGATGGCAAGAAAATGGAGCAGGTGCAAGTGTTGACAACGGCAATTGGTAAGACCACTTGGTTTTGTCTTCCTCCTCTTTCTAATGAAGGCTTTTATAGATTATTGAGCCATTTCTTGTATCTGACATATATGGTGATAATTATTAAATAGGTTCCTGGATTCTAGGAAGCATGGGCTGTTTTGGGGTGGGTCTGTTCTGAAGCATAAACAATACAAGCTGAACTAAATTGGTGGTGAGGGGATTCTCATTAAAAGCCACATTCTGATTTTTCTTGTTGAAATGAATGGTGAAAATTATTAATTATTATTATATATTAAGCTTACTGATTGCTTTTTTATTTACAAGCTATAACACATAGATTAAAACCAGCATAAAACTAAAACAGAGTAACATCTAAAACTCATTCTAGTTTCAATTTTTTTAAAGGAAAATAAAATCCTTAAAAATGATATTCCTTCTGTTAAATGTTATAAATCAGGGGTATTCTTCAAGAATATTCTCCATCAAGAACTAATTGGTTGCTTTACAGGATTCATTTATGTGATTGGCACTTTTGAAAAAAGCTGTTTGCATTGTAGGGCAAATCTGTAAATCCCCTAAAAATTAAACTCATGTTTACAATATTGCACCAGAATGGTGTGTTTGGTGATCTTGAACACATTTGCTTTTCCAGGTCAAATTCCATCAGTGATTGCCCCAAAATGAGGTTTTTTAGGGGGAGGGGCTAAATCTTACAGAAGTAGGATGTTTATCTGAAATATACAAATGACAGGCATTGGAATGTTCAATGAAAATAATCTCTTATTTTAAACAAAACCATGAAATAAAGAAGAGACAGATTTGAAGTGCAATGGGGGTTACTCAATAAATACTTAGAATCTTCAGATGCTTTACACAGTAGGGAATTTAATATGAATTCTCAGTATAAAAACTTCACATTGTATTGCAGAATGAAATACCTATTGTTCTAAACTGTCAAGGCCAAACCTAATACATAATAAGTTGTTTGAACAGATGTTTTATTTCAGGTTGTGTATGAATACAGTGAATGTAATTGGTTCGCCACTCATCTGAAGGTTGAGTAATACCACTTGAATGGTTGTGCTGCATGGTTGCCTCTCGTTTCAGAAGTGGTTTGTTCACTTTGTTGTTATGCTTTTCTTTTCTCTTTGTATGAACAGAAGTCATGGATGACTGCTCCACTAACTGCAATGGGAATGGAGAATGCATTTCTGGGCACTGCCACTGTTTTCCAGGATTCCTTGGTCCAGATTGTGCAAGAGGTAGGGATTTCTCATTTATATATTTGAAGTAGAAGAAAAGACAAATAAATAAATAAATAAACAAATATCAATTTTCTCAGCTTGGAGCTTCAGCAATGAAGCAGCTCAGGCTTAGGTGCTGGAGGCTTCACTTCTTCCTGACTCTCAATCAAGCCTAGATCCATGCAGGTGTTTCTATGCATTTTCCCCTCCTCCCATGTCGCGTCACATGCAACTAGCTGGACTCATTGGCAGCAGCTCTGTACTTCCTGCCTGATATGCTGTTTCCTCTGTTCCTGTAGCTCTAGGGTGTGGGTAGGCAAACTAAGGCCCAGGGGCCAGATCCGACCCAATCGCCTTCTAAATTCGGCCCATGGACGGTCTGTGAATCAGTGTGTTTTTACATGAGTGGAATGTGTCCTTTTATTTAAAATGCATCTCTGGGCTATTTGTGGGTTCATTCCCCCCCAAAAAATATAGTCCAGCCCCCCACAAGGTCTGAGGGACAGTGCACCAGCCCCCTGCTGAAAAAGTTTGCTGACCCCTGCTCTAGGGGATATGGAGGCAGAAATCCTTCATAATATACCCTTCATGATTTTGAAGCAAATAGCGGACACTTCAACTTCCACTCATCAGCATCAGATCTTTATCAAACAGACATTGAGACAGTAGTGACTGCATACCAAAAATGGTGGGCTGATCTTTCACATGCAAAGGGCACCTCCAAATAATAAATATAAGGAGCACTCCCCAAAGCCAAGCTAAGTATTTGATACAGACACATCATGACCAGACTGTTAACAGAGAGAAAAAGTATTCCAGCTTATGGAATAACAGAAATGAGAATAAAATGAAAAGATTGGATAGGAAATAGAATGTGAAAAGCTGAAGCAGGTATGCTAAATGGATAGTAAATTTGAGAGGAAAAACAGATGATAAAAGGTTTGAGGGGGCCTTCAACAAGATGGGCTCTCAGCTCCAAATAGTGTTGCTCCAGAACACTGAGGGCAATTTTCAGTGGCAGGTGGCTCTCAGACCTATCAGCCCGCCATAGGAGTAAGGAGCAGGGCCACCAACTGAAGTGAGCCCTCTTCGGGCTCCTGCTGCTGCTCAAGAATACCAAGTGTTGGTACCACAAAGTGTGGGGTGGGGGGAGAATCATAGGCTAATAGAATTGTAGAATTGGAAGGGGTTCATCTAGTCTAAACCCCTTGCAGTGTGGGAATCTCAACACTCATCCAATTTGAAACCATACTGGACCCTGCTTAGCTTTGTAAATGTGCCACCACTTTTACTGCAGTACCAAATCCTATATAGATCATTAACACTCAAATATGTTTCTTCTCTACAGACTCCTGCCCAGTATTATGTAGTGGAAATGGAGAATACGAAAAGGGACACTGCTTGTGTCGCAATGGGTGGAAAGGCCCTGAGTGTGACGTTCCAGAAGAGCAGTGCATTGACCCCACTTGCTTTGGCCATGGAAAGTGTATCATGGGAATCTGCATTTGTGACCCAGGATATAAAGGAGAGATATGTGAAGAAGGTTTGTGCCTCTTCTTTCTCTTACTTGCTTTCTTTTCAATGGAGATGTAGCTGAGAGGTAGACCACACATGCTTGGCATGCAGACGGTCCCAGGTTCAATCCCAAGCATGTCTAAGTGGGGTTGTGAGTACCCTCATCTGGAATCCTGGAAAGCCACTGCCAGCCATTGCAAGCAATACTGTGTAGTCCATTGGTCCAACTAAGCAAAAGGCAGTGCCAACAGTTTAAAGTTAAGAACACATCACTCTGCAAATCCAATGCCCACAAAAAAATCCTGTTTCCTCTACCACCTCCACCAATAATACTTTATCTTTCAGAGGAATGACAGAACCTTATTTGTAATGTCAAAGCCTATTTCTCTGTTACAGAGAGATTACAGTAGTGGTACTGACATAGATCAATTAGACATGTCTTAACAACGGAAGCTTGGAGAAGGATATTAGAAATGGCTGATAAATTCTCTTTATGCCTTAACCCTAAAGGAAGCTCAATATAAACTGATGTGCAGATGGTATATGGCACCTCAAAAGCTGAAAGGAATCTACAAAGTAAACTCAGTTGTTGGAAACGTGAATTGATAGATACTGATTTTGTGCATACGGCAGTCATATCCTTAAGTTGGTAGATACCAGGATGTGCACAATCACAAGATTTGTTGTGTATCTAGCATTTGGAAGCAGCCTGATAAGTTTCAGAACTGCTGTGTGTCATTCTAGTTCAATTTATTATTTGGTTCCAAATTTGATCTGTTAAATCTGAAGCTCTTTTTTTGCCTCTATTGATCACAATAGGGAATCTATTTTGAAAAGCTATAACTCCCCCCCCTTTTTTTACACAAGTGGATTAAATTATCATGAAAAGTTGCCCTTCTAGAGTGGATTAACACCTGCTGAATTTCAGGAAGATGGATTCAGTGATTGTCCCACAAGGGCAAACTGAGGTTAGGAAAGTAAAAATCGTATCCCCTCCACTGTTTTCTTTTTCTGGGAAACCAATTTAAAAACCAGGAAATGGCAGAGGCACCCAGAGTAAGAAAGCTGCCAAGGTTCAGACAAATAGGTCTAGGGGCATGTTCTACTATCGAACTATGATCCAGGGCCATCTTTACCATTCGATGTAGTGGCGTGGTGAGCCAGGGTGCCAAGCTGTGGAGGGCACCAGGTGCTGTATTTCATTAGTGGAGCCGACGCCAGCGGGCGGGCCCAGGTGCGGCCACACGAATCGGCAGCCCCGGCAGGCGGGCGCAGGCACACACAAAGGGAATGCGGAAGAGGGAGCTTGTGAAGATGGGGACGCCCAGGAGCTGCCTCCCTTCTCAGAAATAAAAATAAAATAACGGGGCACCGCCAAGGAGGTAATCACATTTTAATGGTAGGTCTTTATTTAGGGAGCCTGTCCAGGGCTGCAACGCCTCTGTATGCCTGCCTGAGAGTGAGCCTCCCTGGAGTCCTGGGGGGCTTCCTTCGAGTAAGACACGCAGAGGATCCGCCTCTTCTCCACCAAACACCCAGCCCCCTACCCAAGCATTGCCTTTCTACACCAGCTCAAAGTCCGTCAAAGGCGATGTTCTGTTTTTTTACTGGGAATATTTGGGGTGGCTATGCTGGATGGCTGGTTTTTAGAAAGAATAAAAATCATGAATAATATGAATGCATAGAACCGACTGTCTCTTGGAGAGGAAGAGGTGGGGGAGAGAACAAAGTTTGTGATCCTAGCTGATCACCTTTGGATCTGGAAAATCTTTCAGCCTTCTCTCCCCCACCCCACCCCACCTTCCCGCTAGCAGAGAGATCTAGGAGAGAAAGAAGCAGAAGAGATAAATTTCTGCAAACTGAGGTTTGAATGGGACATTTAAAGCAGAAGAACGCTCTTTTGCGGAGGTGAATTTGATAATGTGTTTGGTGAAAATGACCTGGAGGAGGGAGGCAAAGCTTGCCTCCCAACACAGATCCACTGGAGATTTTGTTTGGCGGCTGAAGCTTCTTCCTCTTCCGATTCTGCCTCCTAGCCCCTCACCTCTGCAAAAGAGCGTTCTTCTGCTTTAAATTTCCCAATCAAACCTCAGTTTGTAGAAATGAATTTACCTCTTCTGCTTCTTTCTCTCCTCCTAGAACTCTCCACTAGAGTTTATTTATATGGTAAATAATGGTCAGCAAACCAACTAAACTAAACTTTAAAAAGGTCAACCACTTCGGGGTTCCCCCCCCCTTAAAAAAGGTTGACAACTCTGGGAAATGGGAGGGGGGAATCTTTGCACCACGGCATCAGATATGCTTAAGACGGCCCTGCTATGATCTTTCCCTAACCACCTACACCTTGCTTCACTTCCTTCCCCATAGGAATGCTCCTGACCCTGACTACACATTAGCTTCTTATCCTTCTAGGCTCAAAACGCTTTTCTGGGCCTTGACTTCTACCTGAGCTGACCCCTGGCCCTCTAAATTGACCCTGTATGGCCCTGACACATAATTATGACCATTGTTCCAGAGGTCTGTGCACCATCGAAACAAGAATTCTCAATGGATAGGAAATGAAAGCAGATGAGCAGCTCTTAACTGCATTTGGAAGCTCACATTATAATTTGGGATCTGATCTATAGCTTCCGCACATCTGTGGTGGCACCAACCTGAAGACCCAACTAGATCAATAGGAATTGCAGCACAAGTAGTAGAGGTGCCAGGAGCCCCAAGTAACATTTCCTATGGGGCATGGCTCTCTCTATGCTTAAAGCCCCAGGCTTCCTAATGGCCGCTCTGCAATCTTGGCAGTACAGTGGTACCTCGGGTTACATACACTTCAGGTTACATATGCTTCAGGTTACAGACTCCGCTAACCCAGAAGTAGTACCTCGTATTAAGAACTTTGCTTCAGGATGAGAACAGAAATCGTGCTCCGGCGGCGCAGCAGCAGCAGGAGGCCCCATTAGCTAAAGTGGTGCTTCAGGTTAAGAACAGACCTCTGGAACGAATTAAGTTCTTAACCTGAGGTACCACTGTACATACGATAAGAACTGATGGATAAGCAGTGCAGTGGTAGACTCTAGGCCAGAAAATGATCCCCTTAAGGTTCTCCACTCTTCAGGAAGGGAGAAAAGCATTGGGAAAGGGTAAACTGACTTTAAGGTAAAAGGCACCAGTTAAGTTTTGTGGTGTCAGTTGTTTGGAACTATCTTTGATGCTGGAATTCCACTCTAACCCTCTCTGCTAACTTGCTACTTGACTAAGTTGTCTGCAGGCATCCGTTGTGCTGTTTGGACTTCTCATAGTCAGGACAGCACAATAAGCATGGGTTGATGTAAAGTATGAATTGACTTTTCACCTAATAAAGCTAATCCCATTAAGAGAAATAACATGTGAAATCTGCCCTAAAACACACCTTTTGTTTATGCATGTCAGAAGGAAGGAGCCCCAGGCCCAGGGGCCAGATGTGGTCCTCTAAGATTCTCTATCTGGCACTTAGGAATCTTCCCACAACACACCCTTTGCCTAGCCACATTACCTCTCCCCTGGCCTCATCCCTCACTGGCCCTGTTTTGCACTCTCTTGAGTTTTTGCCTGGCTGGAATGTGTCCTTAAACTCTGATAATGCCTCTTGGTTCACTGTAATGAGGCTAGGAGGGGTATGTGAGAGTATGCAGAAACTTTACTGCTTTTCAGGGGTAAATTTACCTCTGTTGCTCCACCCACCTTTTCCTCTGACCCCACCTACCACTATCATATGGCCCCTGGAAGGTTTCCCAGTAGGAAATGTGGCCCTCAGTTTAAACAAATGTTTACACTGATTTATGTTCTTAACAGTTTTCTGCTTTCGGTGCTGAATGCTGTTATCTCCTTCCTTTACTCCTCAGAGGACTGTTTAGATCCTATGTGTTCTGGCCATGGAGTCTGTGTTCAAGGGGAATGTCACTGTTCCATGGGTTGGGGAGGAGTCAGCTGTGAAACATCACTCCCTATCTGCCAAGAACAGTGTTCAGGCCATGGCAGTTTTCTTTTGGATACTGGAGTATGCAACTGTGACCCAAAGTGGACAGGTTCTGACTGCTCAACAGGTAGGTAGACAAAATATCCTTCTAATGATTTGACTTGGTTTCAGAAAGGAATAAAGGCTTGGTGTGTGGAGGGTGTGTGTATGTCAAATTTTGTCTCCACTAAAGTTTGGGGTGCTGCAGAATACGATATGAACTAAAACTCAATGTGCTTTGTGAGAAAAAACTTAACCGTATCTTCAAGCTAGAGGAAGCAAATATTTCCAGGAAAAAACAGAAGACAAGAGAAGGTGCAGAACATGATAGAATGAGGATAATGTAGATGGTTTCCCAAGCAATCCAGAGCTGCTTTTTATCCTCACAACTAGGGATAGGGCACTATTTCCAAATTCAATTTTCAAATGCTCTTTGGAATACCACACTCCCTTTGAAAAAGAGGAGCTTCTTCTTTTTCAAAAAATCACCTGGTGCTTTGATCAGTCAGACATTGGCTGTTGGACATTATGCAGAAGATGTGTTTGCTATGAAAGTGGCAGAGTGTTACCATTTTAACTTATGAAACGGCTGTCACCATTGCATGCCACACCTTTCATAATATTTAGTTAATCCCTGAGAGTCCTCCATCTTACAGAGCATCTGCTAGCTTGAAGAGTGTTCCCTTCCCCTAGAATAGGAAATAAGAATGGGAAATAATTATAATATTGACTGCTTTTAATTAGAAAAGACTCTTCTCTGCTGCTTTTGATTTCATTAAGGAAGTCATGAGAGGAAAACCTAAAACTAATTACCTATATGCAAGCAAACTGCATTTTAAAAAAGTTTTTGAAGCCCGTTTCCTTGCTGATTTGAGTTGTACTTTTGCCTGTAAGCTTCCGCACCTCTCTAATCAACTTGTCTGCACTTTATATTGATTTCTAAAGCGGGGGGCGGAGGGGCGGTCTGTGATTACTATGCTGGATTATAGGCTTTATTCAATGCCCCCCCCTTTTTTTGAGAACTTGATGTTGTTGTTCCACAATGGCAACATTGACTGAACAGTGTAATAGCAAACTGAGTGTTCCAAAACCAAGTAATGCATCTTACCTTTCACCCTGAAATGCAGCATTATTTTTACTCAAGCTATACAAAGAAAATATGTGGCCAAACTTACAGTGGTTTATCCACTGATGGTTTTTCCCTTTCTAAACTTCTAAAAAATCGAAGGCACAGTTCTTCTTCTCTCTGCATGTGGAGAGCAGCATGCAAAAGTATTCACATCAGGGCCAGCCCACCCATGACGCAAAGTGAGGGAACTGCCTTGGGCAGCGGGATTCACAGGGGCGGTAGATCTGGCCTACAAGGATTACATTGCCTGCTGCAATGGCAGCATGTTACTGGGAGGTTGGATCTGCTACCTCCTCAGCAGTCCACTTGCACCCCATTGTCACCTCCACAGTGGCCTCTTGGTGAATAGGAGACATTGCTGGTCTCCTTCCACCAGAAGGAAATGGTGGGGATTGCCCAGTGGGATATCCTGTGCTCTCCACCCACCCACCCACCCATTGTGATTCAGAGCAGGCAACTTTCACCCCCATGATGACCTTTGACTCCCAGTTCAACCATCAGATAAGGTTGATTTGACCCCCCTCCCCTTGTTCCCGATGTAGATCTTCACTCACTCCTTCTTCCCTGGTGGCAAGATGCCATTTTGCGGTTCGCCTCAGGTGCCAAAATGTCTTGGACCAGTCCTATGGCACTCTAAATTGTCCCATCTCCCTCCTCTAGGGTATTCATATGTTGGCACATAGCAAGGTTGGATGAGGCCATCCACAAGTGAACCACCTCCTACAGCATTAGGGTTGCCATATTTCAAAGAACAAAAAAGAAGACACATTTGCCGACTTCTGCACGACGGGGTGAGCACCCGTTGCTCAGTCCCTGCTCCTGCCAATCTAGCAGTTCGAAAGCACATTAAAGTGCAAGTAGATAAATAGGTACCACTCTGGCGGGAAGGTAAACGGTGTTTCCGTGTGCTGCTCCGTGTGAAGTGGCTTAGTCATGCTAGCCACATGACCCGGAAGCTGTCTGCGGACAAACACCGGCTCCCTCGGCCTATAGAGCAAGATGAGCACACAACCCCAGAGTCTGTCATGGCTGGACCTAATGGTCAAGGGTCCCTTTACCTTTTACTTTTAACTATGGATTGCTATGACAACTCTCATTTTACATACCCATGAAAAAGAGGACATGTCCTGGAAAAAGTGTACATATGGCAACCCTGTCTACATCAGTGTAGCCCCTCCTGTGCAGGAGAAACATTGGCTAGTTTAGCTGGCAGCTGGAGCAGGTAGCAACAGTGTTCTGATCAATACCACGTAGCTGAGAGGCAGCATTTTTGTTTTCCACAATTGTGCACTGTAAGGGCCTGCACCATGAGAGGGGAGGAAGGCAAGCAAACCAGTTAAAAACCAGTTAAACTTCACCATTACCACCAAATGAATCTCTTCAGCCCCACCCTAGCAATCATCCAGTCCTTTAACCTCCAGAACATTTTTTTTAAAAGACAGTCTCAACAAACTTTCTAAACCAAATGAAGTGATAAGGCAATTAGGCACAGTGTAGGAATAAGGTCTAAAACGTATTTAAATCCAAACAAACTCAACTTTTTACTTGAGATGTTTGTAGGGTAACAAGTAGCCATATGGGAGACTGCTAGTGGTTTCCTGTGGGACAAGCAGGAAAGTCTGTTATTTAAATCACCCTGAAAATGCAGTTAATTTGGAAATATATTTTATTGAGATATTATTATGCCTAGATCGGTGTGATTTCCCCAGGCTACATCATTTAAGCACACTGGGAGAATTAACTCTCTCTCCCACCCCCATATTTACCTAGATTAGATTTCCAAATATGCCCTCAGAGTATCTGACCAGTAATTTAAGGCCTGCCTCTACAGATTGTCTGTCTGTATGCAGATCAGGCTGGGCTGAAGATATCATGCACTATATTCTGTATTGTCCTTTATTAACACCCCTAGGGGTGGATTCCTTTCCTCTTTTCAGAATATTCTAGAAGTACAGTCAGACAATTTTAAAATTGAAGAGCTGCTGGCCAATGAAGCTTGTTACTGACATACACGGTAGCTTTGAGAAAGTTGATGCTTTTTGACGCAAAACCTTGTTGACTGCCAAGGGGACTGTTAACTTTAAATGACACAGGGAACTTTACATTTTAAGTTTTGATCATTTTCATTTCTGAAAATTTATTTTAACTTTTCATTTTATTTTTATTTATTAAATTTGTCAACCGCTTGCACGGGGTAACCCAAAGTGATTTACAAACAAACAGGCAGTAACCCTACATAGATGCATTAAAACCAGGAAGAAAGAGAAATACATTAAAAAATCCCACCCACCTCTAAAAGGCCTCATATAATTAAAGGCCAAAGGCCTAGTTTCGAACGTTTTTGTCTGGTGCCTGAAGGTGTATAATGATGGTGCCAGGCAAGCCTCCAGGATGAATTATTCTGTTTATCTAGCCTTTGTTCAATAATTGGCATTGGCTAGAAAAATTGCTAATGACTGATGTTTGGAGAAGATTGGGCTTTATAAATTGCCGATCTTCATTCAAAATAATCTATTCGAAAGATACAAAAAAATTATGAAGATATTGTTTAAAAATGTAGAGTTGTGGCCCATGGTTTTGTATTTGAACGTGAACATTTATAAAATGCCTGTGCAGATAATTTTATGATTTTCTTCATACATAAAATGAAGATCTGTAACTTAACGCATATTCTGGTTGATGTATCCTCCTTCAGTGTGGGAATTATATCAATCAGAATGATGAAGTGTTTAGCTTTGGCTTTAGTTTTATATATTATAAATGTAAAAACTTAGTGAACGTGTCGAGGTACCCAAGCCACCCCCAAATAAATTACAATTCACACAGAAATTTTGTTTAAGGTTTTTGGCATAATTTTGGTCACAACTTTATTAAAATACATAAATGTGAGTGGTTGCTTAGGCATTGGTTATGACTATCTGTCCCTGCCCAGGGACAGAACTGACTTCCGGATTCCAGTGAAAGCCAGTAAGGGAAAACAATATTGGGGGGGAAATGGAGCTGGGCACCAGACCTTCACCTCTCCCCAAATGCTCCCAGGGGCTTGCGTGGCCCAAGCCCGATGCCAGGGATTTGAACGAAAGCATGGCAAGCCCCTGGATTCCTTTAACGGAATTCCCTTGCAGCAGCAGCAGCATTGGAGGGGCAGGCACTGCCAACCACATCGCCTCCACCAACCAAAAATTAACCAATGCCTAACGACAACCTTACAAGTTGTGACGATTTGCTACACAGTAGGCAAAACCAAATGGCACCAGCCAATCAGCCAAACGGACAAAATTCTTACCAGGCCCCTGCCCCAAAAGCAGATGACCCCATGACAGGCATAGCAAGGTCAAACGCAAGAGCCCTAAATTAGGGTGGGTAGGCGGGTGATCCGGTGCCCGCAGCAAAATAGAACGCTCAATGCTGCGTGCTCAGTATATAAAGCCCTTGGTCCATCCCACAAATTGGCAACATCAAAATTTCCCCAGTAACCCAAACAGCCCAATCACTGCCAATGGCCATCTAAACGATCCTGCCCAGCAACAGAGGGGTGGCCTGTCAGACCCCACTGCAACACGTGCTCTCCATGAAGGAGAACACACTTAATGAGAAAAATGCTTCTTAGGTCTTTTGGTGACTTAAGTATTTAAAATAATAATGCAAAGTGAATTTCAAGGCTCCTTAAATGAATGTATGGATGACCAACTTATTTATCTTCTGGGGGGCGGGGAGATACCGAACCAAAAATTGTTCAAAGTCAGTTTTTGTCCTATTGATATAGAATTTATTGTCATTCAGAATGTTTGTGAAAGAATTCTGGAACAGCATGACTTAAATGTGTACTTCTTGTACAAACATGTTGGAACAGAAATCAACTTTGAGAAGATTCTCTCCCCCCCCCGCCCCCGTTCTTTGAAAATATAATTTATAATGAATTTTTAAAGATATAAAATGAAGTAAATTTCCCTAAGGAT